AAAATGAATACATGTTAAAAAAAAAATTAAAAAAAAAAGAAAGAAACTTGTACATTGCTTGTTTTGTGTACTTTATTATTCATGACATAATTTAAAAAATTATTTTAGACCTATTTTGTCCTGACAGTATTTTGAAGTTTTCATGTAGCAATAGGACTACAAGGATCTTTGAGTTCACTCAGTCCGCACATAATCTTAGGCCAAAGGCGGAGAAGTGATTGAGTTCACTCAGTCTGACACAGATCTAGGTGAGTTTAAATACCTTGCCCAAGAGGCTGCAGGCTGATAGATGGGTTTTTCTCCTAGTTCCCTGTTTTTCCTTTTACCCCTCATACTCTTTAAAGATAATCTTTTTTTTCCTTTGCACCATCTTAAGAGCTACCTTTCCAAAAAAAATAGGCTTCTGTGTTCCTACTATGTGTTGACATTTACTATTTTTCTCCATTTAATAAATCATACTCTAGTCATCCCCTTTCTCTGAATTTCACATGGCCCCTACACTTTTTTTTCTTGGCAGCTGCATATTCCACTTAGTTATGCTAGGTATAGATGTTTTACAGACAGAGGCACAGACTTGCCTGTTAAATAGTGATAGGTTGTGAAACTTGGTAGCCACCTTTCCTGACTCAGGCTCAGGGCTGTTTCCCTCTTGGCTTCTTAGTTATACTCCTGTCCTTGACAGTTTTTTGTTAACTTCTGGTTAATGGTCTTTAAACAGTGTTAGGCAGGGCCCTGGGGGTTTCCAGGAGCTAACTCCTTACGAAATAGGAGAGATGCACCTCCTTCAGCCAGAATAGTTTTAAATTTCTTTGACTTTGGGGAGCTGGAGGGGGCGGGGTGTCCTTCCTCTATTCATTACTGGTATCAGATTTTATGGTAAGTAATATATCTTGAGGAGTGTCTTCATTAGTTCATAAACTTTAGCCTCTTAGAAAGAGAAGCAAAAAGCCACCCCTCCCAGTATTTCCCATTGTGTATTTTAACTGCATTTGTTGTTGGGCCATACCTGTTTCCTCATGCTGCCTCTTAGGCCATACAGTTTCCTTTTGGTTATTTGACTTATGCTAGTGAGGTATTTCTTAAACTTGATTTAAAATTGACATAGCCTTGGGGCACCTGGCTGGCTCAGGCGGTAGAGCATGAGACTCTTGATCTCAGGGTTGGAAATTTGAGCCCACGTTGGGTGTAGAGATTGCTTAAACATAAAAAAAATAATAATACTAAAAAAATAAAATTGACATAGCCTTTAAAATGCTGACTTAAAATATTTTTAAATAACATAGATACGATAGTAGTAGTCTGTTTTGAAATTAGGAATTTCGTTTATTGCTTACAGCATTTCTTTTATTTCTGTCTAGTTTTTTAGTGGCCAAATTACTTGGTTGATCACAGTCTGTCTGGCTTGCAGAAGACTCTCCATTAGCACTTTGAAAGCACCTCTAAGTTGTTTTTTTTTTTTCTTTCTAACATTCAGACTCTGGAAGCTTCTATTGTAGCTAGACCCTAATAAACTAGTACAATTATGTTACATACTATTAAAACAAACAAACAAACAAACAAGACCCAGCAGAAGTCAGCTGTAAAGTATTTTAGAGTGAGGGGTAGGATCATACATGTAGATAATCTAGTTTGACTTCTTCATTTTTCAAATGTGGATACTGGTTTAGTGAGGTTAGTTACAGCTTGCCCAGAGTTTTGAAGGTACTTAATGGCAGACTTGCAAGAAGAATCTAGGTCTGTCTCTCATGTTGTATTCTTTGTGTACAGGTGTTGTGTAGCTATTTAAAATATCATTTATTTCTAGGGTTGCCTGGGTGGCTTGCTTGAGTATCCAACTCTTGATTTTGGCTCACATCATGATCCTGGGATTGTGGGATCGAGCCCTGCATCATGTTTCATGCTGAGCTTGGAACTTCCTTGAGATTCTCTGTTTCTCTCACTCTCTATCTGTCTCTCTCCCTCTGTCCCTCAACTCTACTTGTGCTCTCTCTCTCTCTAAAATTAAAAATATATATATACAATTTATTTCTAAATGATTCAGAGTAACTTTAAAACTTTTTTATACCTTGATTTTGTTTTTTCCCCACTTATATAGCTCTGTAATATCAGAGGCAGAAAAGTAGAGACATTTTTAGGTTTACAAATCTGGGCTCAGAGGTTACCTCTGAATCTTGGGTACTTCATGCCTTTCATCAACTCCTTTAATGTTTGTTTATTTTGCAAGAGAATGAGCAAGAGCTTGGGCAGGGGAGGGAAAGAGATAGAGTTCCAAGCAGGCTCCTCACTGTTAGTACAGAGCCTGACACGGGGCTCAAACCCAGAAACCGTGAGATCATGACCAGACCCAAAACAAAGAATTGGATGCTTAACCAGTTGAGCCACCCAGGCGCCCCTGCAAATGCAGTTTAAATGCAAGTTTTCGAGGTAGGGATTATGTTTAGTATCACTCTTAAGATGAATGCCTGCTTCTGATATGGACTGTCAGATGCTGCTCTAGATTTTAATTAATTATTTTTTAAATTACCTTTTTATTTTGGCATAATTCTGGATTTACAGAAAAGTTAGAAAGGTAGTACAGGCAGTTCCCCTGTCTCCCTCAACCAGTTTTCCCCCATTGTAAGCATCTTATATTATCATGGTATATTTGTCAAAATGAAAGCGCTGCTGTTGGTACAGTACTACTGACTAGACCGCAGACTATTTGGATTTTATCACATTTTCTATTGCACTTGTTTTCCTTCTCCAGGGTACCACCTGTCTCCCTAGTCTCATCAGGCCTGTGACAGTTTCTTAGGCTTTCCTTGTTTTTTTATGACCTTGAGAGTGTTGAGAAGAACTGGCCACTTACCGTGTATACTGTCTCCCAATCTGGGTTTGTGTGGTGTTTTTCTCATGATTAGACTGGGGTTCTGGGTTTTAAGTGCCTTTCTTGTCTCATCATGTCAGGGGTCACATGACATCATTGGTGATACTAACCTTCATCACTGGTTAAGGTAGTGTTTGCCAGGTTTCTCCACTGTCATTACCATTTCTTTCTTTTTATACTCTGTTCTTGGAAAGCAACCCACTAAGTCCAGCCCACTGTTGAGGGTTAAGGGATGGGAAATAAGCTCTCCATCCTGAAGGGGTATCTACATTTATTATTAAGTGGAATTCCCTAGTAAAGATGTGTCTCTTCTTTTTAAAAGTTATTTATATTTTATTCATTCATTTTGTTTATATTAGTATGGACTCATGGATATTTATTTTATCTTTTGGGTTAATCCAATTCTACATTCCTTTATTGGCTTAGATGGTCCCAGCTTTGGCTATTAGGAGTTCTGTCAGATTGCCTATCATGTCCCCCCCTTTTTAAGCACTTCTTTACTTTCTAGTACTGTAAGATACTCCAGGTTCATCTTGTATTTTCCCTGCACTAGCCCTAGAATCAGACATTTCTCCATGGAGCCTTGGTTCTTTTTATTAGAGAATAGTATATAGAAATGATGATCTGGACACTGAGTGTCTCACTGGTCTGGGGTGTCATTGCTTCTAGGCCCTTTTGTGGATGGAGCTAGCTGACATAGGTATTATGCTAAGCCGAGTTTACACACTTTCTATAATGTATTTCTGTCCACTTGTATTTATATTAAACAAAACCCAAGTTAATATAGATGTTTCTGACTAACCCCATCCCACAGGGTTCATTTTAGGTTTTCTTGTTTGCTTGTCTATAATTTTTCTCTTTGAGAGTAAAAAAACCTAGTTTCTCCCATCCTGTTTACTTATTTGTTCAACCCAAGTATAGATGTAAAGCACTTTCAAAAATTTTAACCCATACCCCTGTGAGAAACACATAAACCGATTAAAGGGTAGTGTTTCTGCACAGTGTAGATCCTCTTGATTTTTAGCCTTCTAGGTTTAATTTTTGCACGATACATGCCCTTTGGATTCTGCTCTGATGCAGCTACTTGTGATTCTAAGGGTGTGAACTATCTATCAGGCTTTTTGAGTTGATCACCTTTGTCATTTTTTGAGGTTACTGAGATGAATTCTGTCTTGGAGAAATGCAGAAGAATAATAACCTAGTGAGCCACAAGGTTCTCAGATGAACTTTCTGGCTTAGGCTGTGTGATTTCTCATTTTTTTAAATACCAAATGCAAAGTTTTATGCTTAAAATAGTATCTTACAAACCACACTATATTGTACAGTCTTTGTATGCTGCCTGATCATGAGAGTGCAGCAGTGCTAAAGGGACACTGTCCCTGGGAGTTACCAGAATCCCTTTCTGTGATTTCTGCATAATTCCAGCAGTTCTCCAAAGCATACTTTCACCCTTAGGTTTCTTTTGTCAGTGAGTTTCCTACCTTTTTCGTTCTTTACCACTGAGTTTCCTATCTTTTTTGTTCTTTACTTTTGTTAATTTATACTTTTGAGTGAAAAGGTTTTTAGGGGAGCCAGACTTGACTTTTACTAAAACCACAACTTTTAAAATTTTGTTTTATTTGGCTAAATACAGAAAAATTATATGTATGTTTATGACATACTGCATTTGAAGAATTTACCTCTTTTTAAAATCTTTTACAAGTCAAAACTTCCCAAGGGCTGTATTTTGCATTTGAGAGATTTTGGTTTTTAATTTTTTTTTAAGTTTACTTATTTTGAGAGATAGAGAATGTAAGTGGGAAGGGACTGAGAAAGAGGGAGATCATATATCTATCGATCTTAACAAAAAATATTCAGGCAGTCTTCTTATTTTATGTGTTGAGAGAGCCAGCCTGAGTGGGGGAGGGGCAGAGGAAGAGGGATAGAGAGAATCTTTTATTTATTTATTTATTTATTTATTTATTTATTTATTTTTGAAAATTTTTAGCTTTCTTTGTTTTCCCATCCAGGAAATGGTTTAAGATAGGTGCTTTGTGCTAATGTTGAAACATTCCTAGAAAGTAATTGTGTTCCCTTGACTCTGAAGTCTAGAGCATGTTTGGAGAGGATTCAAGAGTTGGAGGACTTGCTCGCTAAAGAAAGAGACAACTCTAGACGCATGCTGTCTGACAAAGAGCGAGAGATGGCGGAAATAAGGGATCAGATGCAGCAACAGCTCAATGATTATGAACAACTTCTTGATGTAAAGTTAGCCCTGGACATGGAAATCAGTGCTTACAGGAAGCTCTTAGAGGGCGAAGAGGAGAGGTAAGTGACTTCGGTGTCACTCTGCCCCATACTTTTTGTCCTTCCCCTTTTTATTTAAGAGTAGTAAATAGGATTGAGCTTTTGCAAAAATTTTATTTTAACATTTAAGGCAACCTTAAATATTTTCTCTGTCATATTTTAACACTGGAGTATAGATATAAATAGAAATGGACCATCTATCTCTCTCTCAACAACAAAAATATTCAAGCAGTCTTTTTTATTGTATTGTATTCTATCGTATTCTATTTTATTTTATTGTTTGAGAAACCGAGCATGAGTGGGGGAGAGGCCAGAGGAAGGGGGATAGATTTTTTGTTTTTGGAATTTTTTTTAGCTTTATTGAGATATAATTGACAAATAGAATTGCAATATATTGAAAGTGTACAACATGATGATTTGGTATATGTATACATTGTGAAAAGATTTCCACCCCAGAGTTAATTAATATGTCAGTTAGGGAGAGAGAATCTTAAGCAGGCTCCATGCCCAGTGTGGAGCTTGACATGTGGCTGGATCTCGTGACCATGAGATCATGACCTGAACTGAAATCAGGAGTTGGATACGCTAACCAACTGAGCCACCCAGATGTCCCTGTTACTATTATTTTAAATGCTGGACTGTGTCAAGATGCAGAGTCTTTTTCTTGAGATTTTAAATATTATGTTGTAAAATACTACATTTGCTGAAAGAGACCTTTATGCTTATTTTTCAAATATGGTTAGTGTATAAATCCTTTGATACCTGTTCTTAGAAAAAAGTTTCAAAGCGTAAGTGTCTGATTTAGAATGAAAAGCCAGGGCGCCTGGGTGGCTCAGTTGGTTAAACATCCGACTTGAGGCCAGGTCATGGTCTCACAGATTGTGACTTCTGGCCCCGCGTCGGGCTCTGCGCTGACAGCTCAGAGCCTGGAGCCTGCTTTGGATTCTGTGTGTCCATCTTTCTCTGCCCATCTCCTGCTCATGCTTTGTCTCTCAAAAATAAATAAATGTTAAAAAAAAAAATTTGGAATGAGAAGCCATTTAGTTTCAGTGTTACATACATTGTAGTAGGTAGGTTGGTTCCTCTCCCCATGTTTTCCAGACTTCCTGCATAACAATTACATTCTGTTCCTAGGGAAAAACATTCCGATATTATTTTTTAAAGAACATTATGGTGGGCACTCTAGCACAAAGACTTTTGTCTTAGTTAAGATGTATATCAGCCTTGTTCAGCAGATCTTCAGTGATGTTTTGCTTTAGAAATGCATGTGCAGGATATTAATACCGTTTTTACTAAAGTTGGAAGTGCATAATTGTCTCATAAATGGATTATTTTTCCCCTGTAGATTGAAGCTCTCTCCAAGCCCTTCTTCTCGTGTGACAGTGTCCCGAGCATCCTCAAGTAGGAGCGTGCGCACGACCAGAGGGAAGCGGAAGAGAGTCGACGTAGAAGAGTCTGAGGCGAGCAGTAGCGTCAGCATCTCTCATTCCGCCTCGGCCACTGGCAATGTCTGCATTGAAGAGATCGATGTTGATGGGAAATTTATCCGCTTGAAGAACACTTCTGAACAGGTGAAAAACAGATTCCCCCTTTTTTTCTAGGAAGGCTTTGCTGATTGGTAGACTATTTTGCATTGCTAATAATTCCTCAGCCTTTATTTGGATTCAATAGTCTTCACAGAATAAGAGTTGCCCTCCTCTATTTTTTACTTAAATTCACGAAGTAAAATACACATTGAAATAGGAGGAGGAAGATGAGAGGGTACACTTAGTGATTTAAAGATGTCCTTCCTTAGCCTTTCTGTACAGAGCCACAGCTTTTTGTCACACTTGGCCATTCTCTCACAGTGGCCTTCCTAAGGATGAGTTGTTGTTACACCCTTCCCTAGCCAGATTGGTGGAAAAGTTGGAGTGGGAGTGTGAAAATGGGAGATATTTTTTCACAGCTGTTAACATCAGAAAAGGAAGGAAATGTGAGGCTAGAGTCAGATATATGCAGGGAGTATTTTGCTCTTTAAATGAATAAATGAATAAAAACTCATGATATAATTTATATGAAGAATTGTATGGAGCCCTATCTTGAAATTATTTGTTTAAAAGTTAGACAAAATATTCATAGCAGGGAATTGTGAGGTTTTGAGCTGGGGTTTTTGAGAGCTCAGAAGTGAAATTCCTTCCTGGCTAGGCATCATGGAGTTGGAGGCCATGCAGGGGTATGTGCGATGATGCTGGATGGCAGGCCTGGGGGTTCCATGGGGGGGGGGGGGTGCAGTGGGATGAATGTCACTTCCTGAAGCATTGTTCAGGATTTGTCAAATGTTGTTTGTGAAAACCACTCCTTTTCTCACCAGAGCTATTGAAGCTGCCTTGTGTGTGTGTGTGTGTGTGTGTGTGTGTGTGTGTGTGTGTGTGTATGAATACATAATTTGGATGGGCAAAGGAAAGCTAGTAGTTCACATACTAAAAGAGAACAGGCTCTGTGCCCTTTTAGTCACGACTTTAAAACCTGAAGAAAAAGAGTAGCCTCTGCTGCTCCATTATTGTAGTTTGGCTGTTTTTCAAAAGGCCTAATAGCCCTGTGTTGAGTTATTCTACAGCTGGCTTTCATCCTGGTTTATTCCTGGCTTTGAGTTAGAGATGGATATAGATCAGTCCAGCTAATTGCTTTAAATACCCTGCACCTTTTCTCGGGTGTCAGGCAGCGCTGGGTAGCTTGGGGGCCCGCGGTGATAGACCTCACTTGGGACTGGCTCATTGCATCACTGACCCTTTTTCAGCCCCTCATGCTTTGAGGTAAGCACTTCTGCTTCTGTGGGCAGAAGTGGTATAGGTGCAAAAGATAAAGGACACATTTTCTTCCATCTGTTTTTAAGTTTATGTGTCTGTATTTTTTTAAAGCTTAAATTAATCAAATGTTAGATGTTTATAGTCATGATTATGACCGCTAGATGGTGTTGTAAATTTCAAAGACCTACCTGATCTAGCAGTGACTATGAACCATTTAGTTTGGTTCACATTCCTTTTATTCCAGTTTTGTCTTCTTTAAAATAAAGTACCTTAATATTAAAACTGTAGCACTATTGAAGTTACTGCTCTGCTAAATGACAAAACCATGTTTTCTTTTTATAGTAGGAAAATAGATTCCTAGGAAGACTCCCATAGAGCCTTCTTAGTTTAACTGCCTGTGTAAGTTCATTTATATGGTTATCTATCGCTTTCTGTATATTTCATGTGACCTTGTTTTACTCTTTTTGTGAATAGGATCAGCCAATGGGAGGCTGGGAAATGATCAGAAAAATTGGAGACACATCAGTCAGTTATAAATATACCTCAAGATATGTGCTGAAGGCAGGCCAGACTGTTACAGTAAGTGAATTTAATCATCATTTAATTTAACTTCAGTGTCTTAACTAACAGTTAAAGTAATTCAAGAAAATTTTTGGCTTCAAGGGAAGCATTTTAGAAGTGGGCATTAAAACATCTTTGACATTATTAGGGAATTACAAGTACTATTAAAGATTTTTAAAATCCTATTTTATTGAGAGTGGTAATTGACTATTAAAAGTGAAAGTATTGACCTGTGAATAATCTTTATTTTGTCTACTCCAGTAGATATAAAACAGCTGTCTCTTGACATTATTGTAGCCAGTCTGATTCAGGAGATACTGCTTAGCATAAAGAACTATTAGGATAATCTTTTAATGCTAAGGTATGCCTTAAAATGACAGTTGTCTGCCTTGGGTGACTGACCTTCAGCATCATTTGGGTAGTGCTTTGGTGTCCAGGACCCACCTCACCCTTAGTCACCATCTCTGGTGTTGGATTAGGGACCTGTGGTTTGAACAATAGTCATTAAGTGATAGATCCTAGAAAGAATCACTTTTTTTTTGAAGTTTATTTACTTAGAGGGAGAGAAAAAGAGCGTGTACGCATGTGAGTGGCAGAGGGAGGGAGACAGAGAATCCCAAACAGGCTCTGCGCTGTCAGCACGGAGCCCGACATGGGCTCGAGCTCGCAAACTATGAGGTCGTGACCTGAGCTGAAACCAAGAGTCAGACGCTTAACTGACTGAACCACCTAGGTGCCCCCAGAATCACTTTTTTAAACATAATTTAGCGAGGGTAACGTGGTTTTTACATACATAGTGTTTTACATTTCTAGATTTGCAGAGAGATGGGCTTTTTGTGTCACTCTATATTTTGAGTTCTAAGTGGTTCACTGACCGTTGGCTGTGCTCTGAAACATCACATCTTTAATAGTTACTAAATGTCATTAGCATACTTTCTATAGAAGTAGCATCATTGAGCAAACACAAAATTTCTTTATTTTTCTTAGTAGATTTTGTAAATTGTTAACTTTGATAAAGATGTGAAAATGGTTCATATTTTCGTTCTTGAAGGATATAGAAGTAACTTTTATCAATTTCTTTTAAAAATACTAAACACATATTTTTAAATTTATGATTGATACACATTTAGTGTTTAAGATCAGAGGCTCAAACTAGTTAGGACTTTTCTTTTAAAAAGTGTCCTAGAGCTTGATACCACATTGGGAAAATATGAGATGCTAATTTTGTAATAATGGGTAAAAAATGGAAACAAATATTCTAACCACACTATCTTTTCTTCTCATTAGTCATTACTATAGTGAGAGAAAATTGTTCAGTCCTCTTACATGTCTTTTGGAGGTTACATAATGTGGTGGAGAGAATCTGACATTTTAATTCAGAAGATTTCAGAATTGAGTGTGCTCTCTGTCTCTGTAAAGTAATGTGAAACCATTATGCCAATCATAGGCTTTTTCCATTAGATATAGTTCCTCAGGGACCAAATAGATAAATATACTATAGGTCTAGTGGAGCTCAATTATCATATAAAATAATGTGATTTTTTTTTTTTTTTTTTTTTTA